CTCCATTGTTGCTTGAAGTACTAGTGGTATAGGTTTGTGTGACCTTACTTCTAGAATTGGTTAGGTGAGCTCTAGCTAGCCCGGCACCTTTGTTGCTTAATTAGTATCTTTGGATGGTGCAAGAGAATATAAATAGAGGGGTATAGTCTTGGCTAAACCGATAGTTTTAATTCCGCATTTGTTTCGGTTAGCCGACGCGATTAATTTTAGAAAGGACTATTCACCCCCCTCTAGTCCGCCATCTCAACCCTACACCTGGGCAGCCACAGCTGCAGGCAAACCGGCCTGGCCGGTTCTGCTGCAGTCCGGTGCAGAAAATCTTCCAAAAAATTGTAATTAATTCATCCAGACTCTAAATGAGGCGAACCATATATGTTTTTCGACCAGCTTGGCAAGAGAAACCCAATGGTGCAATCATATCATGCATTTGGAGTATATATTGATTTGACTTGAGTTACTAGCAACATGTGAAGTTGAATCATGAGTATGAATATTTACCCACCTTTCATTGATTCGGCTAGAGCTAAGAGCAACATATGAAGCCGAATCATGAGTATTACCAATAGCACATCTTGCTGAATTATCATTAATTCGGTTCGAGTTGAGAATAACATATGAAGCCGAATTATAAATAGGAGCATTGGCATATGGTGCTAGATTTTGAGAGCAATTACCTAAATAATTAGCATTGTTATAGCCAATTCTCTCATTCATCGTCATGTATTGTGGTGAAACCATATATTATGAACTTATAGCCAATGAATAACGATTTACATGTTGTATGTTGCTAGTAGCATCAAAACTCGAAGAATTTACAATATGCATCGGCTCTTAACCATAATATCCATAATTATGATATGTATGATTAGGAGAATTAACAAAAGTATCAACCAATGCAACATATCTAGTATCATTATGACTAGCAACATCAACATGGGAGCTCATAGAACTTGCAAAATAATTATTGTGTTCATAAGATGCATTTGCAAGCTGTACCTCAGGATAATTGTAGTAGTTTTGTGATGCAACACCTCGATGCTCCATGATTTAGAACTTGACCATCTTGCTAAATTTTCTAATAGCAAGCGCAGCACGTTGCAAAATAGCAAATGAGAACACAATAGGTCAAAACCAGATGCGATCGGCCTTTTGGGCCAGATGCAACGGTAATGGCTAACACAAGAAGATAAACCAGTGAGGAGTAGGGCTAGGGAAACAAGATCGGCTACAAAGTAGAGCCAAAGCAAATTCTTCCCCAGCGGAGTCGTCAAAAAAGTGTGTTGACGCCGAATAGGATCCGGATCACACACCAGCAGGGCGTTGGACGTCCGGGCCGCTATGGACTAAAGAACACAACGAGTTTGTCACTCTTTCGTGGTGAACAACAGAGAGGTTTACAAGCAAACCACCAAAGGATAACCAACATGCTTGCGTAACGAAGAACGGGCTAGTTTTAAGGTAAACTAGCAAAAAAAACCATCGAAGCTCTTGCCCGGGAGGGACCCCGTGGGGGCAAGGACGTCGTCGGGTTACCCTAGGTCGGCCAGCAAGCCTAGGGCAGCCATCCTTGATCGTCGAATCAAGGGATGAACAGTATAGGGGTTGGAAAAGACGGTAAAAGGGTGTTTGTAGATTGATTTTGACGATTGAGTGTTGGATCCTTCAATCGGTCTATGATCTTCTCATATATATATAGAGGGGTGGTCTTATCCCAATAGAAAACAACTCCAGATCGTAATCTTCAAGTTTCTTATGCGAAAATACGTCCAAATCCCAACTAAAATAGAGTTTGGGTCGGACACGTATAGGCAAACCGGCCTAACCGGTCCTCAAACTGGCTAGGCCGGTTTTCATGGGGCCTAGGCAGCCATAGCTACAGGCAAACCGGTCTGGCCGGTTCTGCTGCAGTCCGGTGCAAAAATTTTTCAAAAATTATAATTAATTCATTCGGACTCCAAATGAGGCGAACCATATATGTTTTTCGATCAGCTCGGCGAGAGGAACGCGATGGTGCAATCAAATCATGCATTTGAGGAACTTGCCCTGGCCGGTTTGGGAATCGGCCTGGCCGATTCCAGCAGGGCCGGCACCCCCGAAACACGATTTCTTCGTCGTCCAGGCTCCAAATGGGATGATCTAGATATGTTTTCTGACGATAGAAACATAATGACAGGGCCCATTATACACTTTGGCCACTTTTGGTTGTCAACCATGGCTTTTACCTTCTACGAATGGTATTTCTATAGTAATTTTTAATGCTTGTATGTGTAAGTTATTCAGTTTTGTCTTTGTATTGCCAGATGCTTATCCACGAACAAAGTTTGTGACTGAACTTTTGTATGTATTCCATGCATTTTTCTTTAGAAAAGATTGTCATACAGTTTGGACGAATCATATTCATGTTTCAAAATTACATTTGAATCACTAATTTTAACCAGCTTGTACAATATGAGCAGAGACAAATATCTTCGGTTAATGCTCAGAAGGATTCAAGTTTTTCTGCCTGGTAATGTTCCTTGAACTAACTATAAACTGAATGAACTTCAGAACTTTTGTGAATGTGATAGCAACTCTGAAACTGATTGAAGTTCAAAGATGCTAATGACATTATTAGTGATGTATATTAACAAAAATTGAGAAGATACTCTCTTCTGCTGAAAAATGAAGGTGATAAACCGGACCGTGAAATTTGAACGGGGCAGAAACATAACCGACGCCCCATCCAATCGTGTATAGGCGTTTCTCTGGGCACTTTGCAAAGGGCAACCTCCATGGAGTGGAGAGCAGAGCACAGGAGGGCACCCGTTCTTCTCAATTATGCCGGCGCAGCACCAAAATGGAACAAAAAACAGATACGAGACGGCGGCAAGATAAAGGTGTTTGGGGTGAGTTTGTTCTCGAGATGTGGCCAGGTATTGTGGCTTGGAACTAAAAGAAGATGGATCTCCAAACAATCTTCTCCTGGCTAGGCGTCACTCTGGGCTCCATGCGGCAGTCAGGACGCCACTGAACGGCGCCTGCTGTTGACTCATGATATAGAGCCCGATCTCTCTGATTTCATTCAGAGTTTCAGACTGCGTGAGAATAATTTTTTTTTAAAAAAAAGGAGTCCAGAATGACATCTTTCATCTGCTCCATACCGAGAAACACAGGCAATTTTCAAATCAAAACAAAACAGATCCAACAGATCTTCTCCGGATAACCGGACCTGAAATAGAAGGCAACTCCCAGCCCAGATACTAGCAGAGAGGAAAACAGATGGAGGAAGAATTCAAACGACGAGGAAGCGCAGTAGAGACCAGAGACGGCGGCTGGAGGTGAAGTGCACGATGGAGCCTGTTAGGGTTTGTCGACCCACATTCTTATAGCCGGTTGCCGGCGAATGGGCTCTACTGGGTGGGGGCCTTGCCTCACTAGCAGTTGGGCTTTCAGGCCCAACAGCCACTTGTCATAGTGTTATCCGGAAACCGTCATTTGAAACGGCGTTAAGAGACCGCCGCGCCGTCTGACATGACGATAGGACCTTATACTTGATGATGGTGAGTCTCTACCCCGCCACTACTTCATTTGCCCTCAGTTGGTGGTAAGAATCCTATCGCCATTTGAGTATCTGATCTGGCGGTATACTATCAATGGAGACCAATGACCAAGGATATCACTATTACTAAAGTTCTTGACAAAATCACCAGTGCCTAATTTATCCTCAACCACCGGGTATTCAATTTAAAATATTACGTACAACTCGTACCTGTTTTGGTCTGGATTTCCAATGTGCCAGACTACTAGCTTTGGTGATTTTTAACCCCTCTTTCTAAAAGTTTGCTCATTCCTGTGGCGTAAGGCTCATTTCCACGGAAATTGTTGTGCAAAGTTTCTGAACAAGTATTCTAATTTCCATGCATCAAAACAAAACATGCTTGTGGCTCTTCTGCTGACAGTCGAGAAGATGAGTCCGTTGCCACTACAGTAACAGCAGCAGGTGATTGAACTCCAGGAGATGCTTTCTTTCAGCTGGTAACCGGAATGGCAACTAGTGAAACTGAAGGTGATCCTCAGACGCCTATAGCCTGTCAAAGTATCCATATGGCAATATTTCTTCAGATTGGGGATAAAAGGAACGTGATGGCAAAAGATAGTGTGAAGAAAGGGATACACATTATCCACCACTGCTGTATCATTGTAGGAAAAGGATCCACATTATCTGAATCCAAAGAGGAGCTGCCTTTTCAGCTTTCCCCGAATGGGCTGTAGCATCAGACGTTTTTGTCATTTGAATTTATTGCAATCTTGTGATGAAGAGATTTACTATATTTGTTGCCACAGTTCTCTTTTCATTGTTTGAAGCTGAAGCAGGTTTGGAAATTGTGGAACTGCTGCTTTGCTTCAATCCATTGTTCTTCCATTACCTTTCACGATTTGCATTCAGCTCATATTGCAACGCTTTCAGCTCATATTGCAACGCTTATGTATGCTCGTGTCTGTGAAATGTTCACAACGTTTATTCGTTAACCACATGGCTAGCCGTGAATGTACAGCCCACCTCTGTCACTCCGCAACTGGCTAGGGCACCGTTTCTTTGATACAAGCACAACGTTTTTATTCATTAACCACATGGCTAACCGTGAATGTACAGCCCACCTCTGTCAATCCGCGAACTGGCTAGGGCACCGTTTCTTTGATACAAGCATACAGCATTATAGATTGTTTGAGAAAATATACATTGGCAATTTTCTACATTAACAATCATTCAAAAACTTCAGAGCATACTGAACCTTCAAACCTACAGACCTTTTGCGTCACTTCGATTGCTTTAAGATAGCATGTCTCCTACCTTGATCTGATGTATACATGATACCAAATTAATTTAGCCTAGTAACTACAAGGTTGTGGAGGCTATCTGGCAGTCCTCTCCTACGGACAAGGCATATTTTTGCCTCGTGTCAAAATTCGCACTAGCATTTGTCGGCTAACATATGGTACTATTGTTGCTAAAGTGCTAATTACAGATACAATGAGTTGGAAAACATGATACCCCGACGCAAACTCTCACTTGCCTTCTCGAACTTCTTCTCAAGGTTAACCTCCCCTACGGCTTCAGCAGCAGCTCTCAACTGAGAACAAGTTCAGAGTTAGAATAGAAGGCTCAAACATGGAACAAAAGCTTGTGAAACATGGAACAAAAGGACGTTCACTATGAGAGTAGTCACAAATAACGAGCAAGCATCATTGATAGGCATGGGTGCGCATCCACCTATCATTATCCGAATAGCAGAAGCACAAAATGTAGCCGGCACCCAATCACATGTACTGTAGCCGGTACCCAAGGGCACATCTATATCTATATCTTATCTATCTATCTATATCTCCTATAAAGCTAATCCCCACTACAAGTCTATCCCACATGCAAGCCATCTATATCATCCCCCACTAACTATCCACGTCATCTCCACAAATAGCGATGTCATCCCACTAACTTTCAACATCTTAATGCATGCTATCCACATCATCTTCACTTAATTTCATTTCAGATTCTTTGCAATCCCTGCGGCAACGCACAAGGTATCTTCTAGTGTTCCAAACTCACCAACCCCCTAAATCCCCCCTAAGATTATCATTGATTATCCTGCCAACCAAGGTGCAAACGATGCACAAAATTGCGCAGTAACACATCTACAATTGGTTTAAACTTTTCTTGTGCAAATTAATAACTTCAACACTATATCAGAACTATGGCTCAAACTTGTATGACATATTAAAGCATGTCACATTGACAGTAAAATACTCTGACATAATGACATCTTATAGTGGACATTTCCCAAGCAGCCTTACCACATTCTAATTGGCACGTGCATCAAGCCTAATACGGTAAGTCTGTAATCAAAGGAATGCATCCATACAACCAAGTGACACTGAAAGTGTGGAAAGCAATAAACACATGATGGAAGGTACTTATGTTGGAAGGAGATAAAGATGACAGTCTACCTGATTCAGAAATTCATCCAGCCTTCGAGCAAGCCTTATGACACTTCCTTCAAAAATGTCGGTCATTTCCATCACCTCTGCAAAGGTGGCTCCCTGTATGAAGATAATAATACATACAATTAAGATAAAATTAATGAAATCACAGTAGCCTTTCCAATAGTCTAAAATTGCATCTTATCAGAAATTAAACAAAATAAGAACCAAAAACCGAACTGGATATTAAGATGTTTCTAAGGTCAACAGAATTTCCAAAAGGATCTTAAAAAAAAAACTAAAATCAAGAGTTGTACAGGGCCTCAATCTCACTAACCCTTGACCAGCAGTATATGACATCCATAAGGTAGGGTCTGCAGGTTGATTCAACGTATTCCTCCACATTTACTTCCAGTTTGCATTCTTTTTGTACCTAAAACAATGAGAGATCAAATCAAGTACATGAACATAAAAAAATATACAGGAGGCAAAGAAAACATGCTCTTTGATCTCACTGCATTGGAAACAGGAATGGGAAATTTACATCTCAATCAAGTTCAGGGACATATCAAAGTTTGAGACAAGTATGCACCTCAGCTATTTTTCTTGCAGCCTCCTGAAGTTGCATCATCGGCCTAGAAAGTTCATTTCTTAGGCGTATCTGCTCACTTGATTTATCACAAGGTACAAAGCAGCTAGCAAGGGAAGCAACTTGATGATGGTCAAGATCATTAAATGTACCTAGACAGATGGAAAATATTAAAGCAATGCAACTACAGTCAGAGAATAATTGGACACACAAAATCATATAGAACGGATACCATTGAACATAAGTTCAGTGATAAGCAGTTCATCCCCTGTGTCTATTAAACAGGCAGCACGTCCCTTTAACTGGAGAACACCATCAGCATCAATATGACCAAGCATCTTCAGAACGCGGGACCGGTTCTTAAGTTCGTCTCTAAATTTTTGTAGCTGAATGAAGAAGTTACAAATTCATTTAGCTGTTAGAAAGGGTCCAATTGGACCAAAGGTAAAATAACGAAACCAACCTGTGAATCCCGCATCTTTGACTTGAGTTGCTGAATTTCACTATTCAAGTCTGCTTTTCTTTGGTACCAAGATAGTTCCTGATCACTTTGACCAGACTAAGATAAAGAGTAGCAAAAGATACGTCAGTCAAAAACAGAAAATACATTATTCCAGATACTTCTTGATGCAAAGGTGATAGAAATATATACCTTATGAAGTCTGTGAGAGCATTGTTTCTGCTCAAGGTCCTCAAGTTTATGTACCAAGTCAACTAGTTCAGGTTCTTGAATACCCATATCCTGTTAATAGTATTAGACAATCAAAGTGAGTGCATGCTAAGCATTTGTTCTGATAGAATTGCCAACAGAGGGGCAGAGGGCAGAGCAAGAAGTCATCAGAAGTCTCTGAATATGCAAGGCAATATCAGGAGCTAATGATCACGTGAATAGATTTGTTCTTTACACATAAATTATGTGCAGAAAATGCATTCAGGACCACGATAAAAAAAAATACATGTTCCATATATTTGGAAATGTTAATTGCACAACAAAATTGTATCAGAGAAGGAACAATATTACAATTCACAGGTATTTAACAAGACAAAAAGAGCTGGGTTCATGTAAAACTAACCATGATTCCATGTGTTTGAGTTTGTTATAATTTTCCAGAATTTAAACCACAACAAAAATGGCACTTTAGGCGCAAATACAAAAATGCAAGTAAATTTCTGTAAGAAGAAAAAAACTATCATACGTTGATTGGATGTAGCTTCGGAAGGCCTTGGGGGTAGCGCTTTCCTAGTTCTTGCACTGCAAAAAGTATATTCTGTCTTGCTTCGGGTGGTCGTAGATCAGGAGGAATGTTGATTCTAACACTGCTTAGACCAGATACTAAAGGCAATGGTACAGGCACCTGCAAATACCTCAAGATTAATCAGAGTAATACCCCAGATGATGATAGTCTAACATGATAAGACCCCTTGTCATAAAGCTTCAACTTACCACATGCATTTCACCCTTCTCCCCTGGGCGAGGCGGGCATGGCTTTGAATGTGATCCATTCTCACTGGAATTAGAGGAGCAGTGAAGCAAGGTGTCAACTATATAGTTATTGCTGCGCGATGCACTTAATGCAGGGGGGAGAGTCCCAGATACTGGAGGTTTCTTCACTACATTTACAACCACACCCCATCCCCAGTCTGTTGAACCATCCCTCACTCTAACCTGCCACAATGCAAAATACTGAGTGGGAAGAATATGTATAGTTTTGTAAAGTCTACAACAGAAGTGATCACAAAACAACAGTTCATCAAAGAAATAAATAAGTGAGCAGAAGCAGAGGAAGTATTTCTACACTTTCTAATCAGCCAAATCCAAATAAAATGGTAGTGACACAACCTCCTTGACCACAAACAGAAAGAAGTTGTGAAAAATTGAGTTACCTACCAGCCTTCCAGGAACCAAATACAACAAAGCCCTCTCTGGTCTAATCATCTCAGACATGATTTTCTTCTCTAGTTCAGATATATCAAGCCCCAGTTTGTGATATTCAGCAAGATCAGTCTGTACAAGGAAATGTGCAAGTCTAGTAACAACGACGATGATGACAAATAATATTGAATACAGCAATTAAGATAGCATACCTCTCCAGAAGAATCAAGCAAGGTAGCTTCATCCTCCAACCGTGTAATCTTTTGAACTATTTCTGGCAATGCCTGAAAAGCGAGGGTAGTTATTTTTAACATTGGCTAGTGTATGACAGCAGAAGCATCTATAAGAGTTACTCAAACAAACCTTCTCATACTGAAACTGATGGAATGAATGCCTAATCACATGCTCAGCGGTAAATTGGCCCTCTACACGGCTCATTAAGTTCAGAATAGTGTAATAGCTCAGCCGAAAAGTACTGACAAGAGGTGCTGGTTTGCCTAACACCATGTCCTTGATAACACTCATTTCCATCTGCAGAACATACTCATGTTAAGTCGGATGGACAAAAGCAACAGATTAAAAGATAGGCGCAACACATGATCAACTGGAATAGTTAGCATAAGAAATCATGAAAGCTAAAAAGTTCATCATAAAGCAAGCATAAGTTTAGAACAAAACCAAAAAATTTAGGTGGGTGTCGGTGCGGGACCCACGGGATACCCCGCAAAGAAGGGAGAAGATCTAGTCTAACTATGATTCTTCTTATGTAATCTTAGTAGTAGTAGTAGTAGTATTCTGTAATCCTTCTAGGAACTCTCATTGTAAACCGACTAGGACTCTGGCCTCCTGGCTATATAAAGGAGGGCAGGATTCCTAGAGACGGGATTTTACGACGCAATACTTCACAATCAATCCAACACAAAGGCTAACGCCAACTGGACGTAGGGCTATTACTCGATCAACGATCGAGGGTCCGAACTCAGATAAATCGACTCGTCTCTTTGCGCTTTCACGAAGTTCCGCATATCTGTTGAAGCTCGAAATATCTTGCCCCTTGCACCCCGTGGCGGGGCTATCGGTGGTGAAACATCGACAGTGGGGATGTTTCAACAACACAAAATGAATCTTTAAGCACACCTACTCAATTGTATTTAAACTGCAAAGGTTCGATGCAGTCTCAAAGCATATCATAGATCATGTTGAATTAAGTAAACATCCATTTGCATACCAACAAACAGTGAAACTGATATACAAAGAGCAAAAGATGGAACCTAATAAACATCAGGTGGATTTCTAACTGCAATAGAAATAGCAACAACATTAGATATTAAGGAAATCAATGATCAATTCTCACATCAGATTTTGTCAACTGGACACAGAAAGACAACTGCAGAATCAGGATGCACTGGGATAGATTGTGTTGTATTCATCCCAAGAGGAAGCCCAATTTTGTTAAAAACAAGTCAAGTAGTCAATAAAGACACACTAAATACCGTCATGAACACCTTGACATGCTATATGAATTGTACTTGAAAAACAAAGATAATAAGGACATAGAACAATGGACCTTTACCTTCTCATCTATCATTATAACACAAATACCACGTTCATCCTTGCCACGCCGGCCAGCTCTTCCACTCATCTAAGAGTGCAGTCCATGTAAAATTAAAGTAAGAATGGGCTTGTATATGTCCTCTCTATAAACTTACATGTATGAGTGTATGCCTGACTTGCATTTCATACATAAAAGATTTACCTGTATATATTCTCCAGATCCAATATAGCGGTTAGTATCACCATCCCATTTTTTGACAGAGGTGAAAACAACGGTTTTTGCAGGCATATTAAGACCCATGGCAAACTGAAGCAGAACAATAACAAAATGAAGACTGTTACTGATCAAATGATGCAACTAAGAGTAAAAAAATGCACTATTTGCATAAAGTGTACAACGATAGTTCTCTTACTTTACCTATTTGAAAACTAAAGAAAGAATCCAATCAAGAAATTCAACTATACCCCTTATACTACATGTAAGAGATAAAAAAAAAGTTTAAGGTGAAGAGAAATAATCAGGATAGAGATCATACTGTCTCAGTAGCAAAGAGAGCTTTGACAAGACCTTCTTGAAAGAGCAACTCCACCAGCTCCTTAATTATTGGAAGAAGTCCAGAATGGTGTACGGCAATACCTCGCTTAAGAAGCGGCAACATCAACTCTATAGCAGGTAAACTTCTATCTTCCTCGACTAAACAACCAATAGCATTATGGAAAACCTGCTCAATGCATTCCTTTTCGTCCTCAGTGTTGAAGTCAAGTTTTGACATAGACATGGCATGGTGCTCACATTCTCTTCTACTAAAGCTGAAAATTATGACTGGTTGAAACTTGCGCTCCATAATCATCTGAAAGTTAAAATGCACTCAAAATTAAGCAAGGATATGAGTGTCTCAGGTCCAAATAAGATAACAACACTGAAATTCAAATGATATATCATCAACTGAACACTAAATATTTACTAGTGAGATTTCAACTTTAAGGCTCCTTAAACACAGCGAACTTTACATTAGAAAGTTCCATGCACATACGAACTGGTAAATTCAGAAAGCACACTAAGCCAAAGAATATCATGCACAGAAGAATGCGAGTGTCTGCCTACCTTGACAATTCTGTATATGTCAGAATTCCCAGAGGCGCTTCCACCTTTAGCAATCCGGCCACTCGCTTTAGGCCCACCACCTTTCCTTCCATCCAGTTGATTATTTTGCTTAGCAAACGAGTCTTGTAGCTTTGCAAAGTTATCTTCTCTAAACTGGCCATTTTCATCTACTACAAGGTAAAGACCAGAACCGCCTATTGGAAACACATAGTGCTGCAATGGTGTTGGCCTGAAGTCCGTATACACAACATGACAGGGCTGCTTGTGCAGGCTGCATATCCACTCAGCAAACTCGGTCGCATTTGACATGGTAGCGGAAAGGAAGACCATCTTGATGGCAGGGGGCAAGAAAATGATGCTCTCCTCCCACACGACTCCTCTCTCACGATCCTTCATGTAATGTATCTCATCGAATATAACCCAGGCAACCTCCTTAATCACCTCGGAGCCCCTGTAGAGCATTGCCCTGAGGATCTCTGTCGTCATGACCAGACACGTGGCGTTGGGATGGAGCGTGACGTCACCAGTCATCAGCCCAACATCTGTGAATTCCTGGCTGAGCTCCCTGTACTTCTGGTTGCTCAGGGCCTTGAGCGGGGAGGTGTAGATGACCCTCTGCTTGTCCCTGAACGCCATGGCGATGGCATACTCGGCAACGACGGTCTTCCCCGCGGAAGTGTGCGCGGAGACAAGCACGGACTCGTTCCGCTCCAGGCACGCGATGGAGGTGCTCTGGAAGGGGTCGAGGTTGAACGGGTACTGCTTGGCCATCTCCCCGTTGAAGTCCGGGTTGGAGAGCGTCCCGTGCACCGCCTCGCCCTTGGCCGACTCGTACCCTTTCGGGACGGCGACCTCGTGGACGCACGAGCGGGAGAGGTTCCGGCGCTTGGCCGTCGGGTCCGCCTCCGCCTGCGACTGCGCCGGCGCGGGGCTCGGCTGCTCCTCCGCGCTCCAGTCCGGCGCCTTGCGCTTGCAGGTGCTCTCCGCCTCTTCCCCCATCGGCCCCCGCTCGACCCAAACCTAAGGTACAGAACCCAACGACGCGTCAGTAGGTCAGATGCGAATACAAGGTTTGGGTGCTTGGTTTCGCACAGCAGGGAAGGGAAGACGAAGGGGTGGGCATACCTGGTGGTGCTCGTCGCCGGCGAAGGGCCTGAAGAAGACCTGGGCACCTGGCGTTGGGCGGCAGCGGCGGTCGCACAGTCGTCTCCACGAGAGAGGGAGACAGCGCGCGCGGCGGGGGGCGTCGGTGGGTTGGGGTTGGCGGCGGATGGAAGCAGGGGAGGCAGCCCTGCAGGGATAACAGGGCTCCTTTGAATACAGCAAGCCCAGTTGGGATACCGGCCCAGTCTCCGCCGGTGGAAAAAAAAAAGCCCGTGAATTTGCTGCCCTCGCAGATCCACGTGACCTTTTTGCTTGTCGTTGTCTTTTGAAACAGAGAAGTCTGCTAAAAAAATGTAAACAGAGAAGTTACACTTAAAAAAAATCGAGAAGTTACAAAGTGCAGCCAGTCTAACATGATTTCTTATAAAAAAAAATAGCTCTGGACCTGGCTCCTGTGCTAAAGTTAAAGTCGTTTTTTGAGCCGGTTCTGTCAATTTGGTGGCCTGGAATCAAGCTAAAAAATGAGTCCTTTAGTATAATAATAACAATGATGTTTCTAGTAAACTTCAATGCAAACATTCTTATTGAACAAATTATAAATGTTACCTTTAATTTTTTGTCTCACATTTGTGGATGCGAAGTCATTGATGATGGTATCAATATTAATCTCATCTAATGGTTTCTTCTCGGTGCATAAAATTGTCAAACCATTTAATCTTTCTTAAGATATTACGGACCTCTAATGATTCTTCAATAGTTTCAACTTTCTAAAGGTTCTTTTAGTCACATTAAAATCAAAAGAGTTAGCAAATTACCTAGTTGAGAACTTGAGGTAATGATTATTCACTAAATAGTCTCACATCACACTGCCCTAGCTGCACTATATGGGATTCCCAAATTCCAAATCAAAATTTTTAAAGAGTCTCAAATCTTGTACTAAAATAATACTCCTCTATTCCAAATTATAAGTCGCTTTGACTTTTTTGGTACATCCATTTTGCTATATATCTAGACGGTTAGATGCATAGCAAAATGGATGTAAAAAAAGTCAAAGCGACTTATAATTTGGAAAGGGGAGTACAAATTAGGGGCAAAGGCAAATTAAGCATTGATTAAGTATATAATTGGCATAGATCAACAAAGGGATTTTGAAGTAATTGGGCAAATGTACCGTACTCGCCACTTGTGTAGAGTCGTAGACGTAGAGCTGGGTGTCAGCCAGGTCACGTCGACGACTAGGGTTCTTGAGTTTTTGTTGCACCAGAGGCCATTTATCTATACCTTGAGTTTTCGTTCCTTAGCTTCGAGGCCCAATGTAGCTGCCCAACTCAACCCCGTCTAGGGCCATTTACAAAAATGTTTGAAATACGGTTGTAGTTGTAGTTTTGTCATAAATTTCTGTCAACTTTGTGACCACTTCAAATATATCCATACCTAAAACAGTGGAAATGAAAAGGGAGATTATTGGAGCCTTTTTTTTTTGGCTCCTGCTTTGCTTGGTATATGCCTTGGGGCTGCTCTTGGTCAGTCCGTTTGACACGCCGGTTCATTGGCAAAAACCGCAAGGAGCCGGAACAGGCACTGTGCCAAACGCACTCATACTACCTCCTCTGAAGGCACAACCTGCTAGGACGATGGTGAAGGCAGGCATGAGCGAGTTGCCCACGTTTTGCGTATGCACAAATGCTGCTTTAACCGATTTTTATTTGCTGGTGTGTGATAGCAATGCACTCGTAGGCAAGTATGGTGTGTGTGCCTCACTTTATAGCTAAATAAATGCCACGCATGACGGTCGTGTCAGACGTATTAAGTAAAAAAACCACATATTCACCACGTCACCTATAGACGTCAGCACAAACGCGCGTATGTAGTATGAGTTTACAGACGCGTCTTCCCAACACGTCTGTAATAAGTACTTACTATAGGCGTATGTTGGTAACAAACGTCTATAATACTGGTATAGACGCGCGTCTGCAGTTAGACGACATATCACAGACGCGCGTGTGGTACGTAGTTATCACGCGTCTGTGTTACGATGGCAGACGTCTGTGACTGAGTAAGCGCACGTCAGAGAATGAAGGGTCACGGACCCGAAAAAAATTAACTCCAGATGAATTTACAACTAAAGTCCGCAGTCGTAGTCCCCTCTCTCTCCCCGACTCCCGTCGCGGAGTCGCACAACGCCGCCACCGCTCCTCCTTCACTTACAACGCCACCGCCCCCTCCTCCTACTTCGGCGCCGCCACAGCCACCTCTTCTGCCGGTGCCACCACCGCGCCCTCGTCTGCCGTCGTCACCTCCCTCCTCTCCGAGATCTGGATCCTCCCGTCCGCAGCCAGGGGACAGCGTGCCGTCGCGAGGCCGCCCACCGGCCGCCTCCGCCCGCCCGCCAAGCGCCAAAGCACCGACGGCCACCTCCTGTCCCTTCCCGTGCGGCGGTGCGAACAATCCGCCTCCCTCCCTCCAGACCGGCCGGCGACGCACCTAGATCCAGCCGGCAGCGCTTCCCTCCACCCAGATCTAGCCGGCCGCGCCTCCCACCACCCGGATCCAGCCGGTGCCACCTCCCATCACCAGATCTGCCAAAACCACAGCCACGGGGGAGCAGTAGCGACACCAGCAAGCGGACGACGCCCCGCGCTCTTCGCCCTCTCCCCAGGTCCGTCCATCCCCGTCCCTGGACTGCCCGTGCGCGTGTGTGCTTGACAGGGGTTAAGGTTGAGACTGCCCGTGCCCCGCTGGGGCTACTCGGTGCTGCCCATGGCCATCCGCCAGGACATGATCCTCGCCATCCAGAGGGCCGACGGCGGCTAGGTGCGGGTCGCCAATGTCGACGACAAGTACCCCCTGCGTCTACCTCGCTGACCCAGACAAGGTAGCAATGCCCTCCTCTGCTCCATGCTCTATCAATCTAGATAGATTGGTAATATAGTTTTGAGGTGATTCGATTGGGGCTTGTGCATCCCCAAAGAAATTCTTGTGTCAGGTAGAGATTTCCAATTACTTGTTGGTGAGGGGTTGTTTTTAATAACAAACTATATATGTCTACTGATTATAATCATAGGGGTACCAGCTCTGCTTATTATCGCAAAAATATGAAAAATATGACATTCTCTGCTACTACTTACTGTATTGCACTTTGCTTTGTATACTGTACGTGTTCTGAGAGCCTGCTTCATGGACTGGCCTGTCACATGGACTAATGTCTGCTTGGCTCTGTGTTGCCGTGAACTTCTGACTAGTATAATCTTCTGAACAGTTTTCATCTGAAGGAGTTCAATTTTTTTATCATATTCACTGTCATTATTGTGTAGTTTTTAAGTTTCAGTAACATGCCATTTTCTCGGTAGATTGGCAAGAAACATCTCAAATGTGATGTGGATGTTTAATACCTTTGTACTTGGTGTTTCAGACTTAGGGAACATCGATCCTTCTATATCATTCATACATGTTTCCTTGGTCCATTGCCCATTAGTGTGGGGTTCTGAATACTTGTACCTGCTTCCTAAATATGTTATTGATATTAGTCATGTTATATATGTTCTAAGCCACTTTACTGGTCCAATAATATGATATATTCCTTGTTGGTATTATAGCACACATGAGCTGATATGCCTTTTTTCATCAGGGTGCAGGAACATGGTGGTGAAACCTTACTTCCTTTCAGTTGTGCTTTTGAACAGAAACTAGTGGATATGCTAGAAGATGAAGCTGTCAAATATTGTGCGAAAACCAGATAACAAGGCAAGTTCATTCACACTTTTGATACTAGAGTTGGTTAGCTTGGTCATGCTAAATGCTTCTAATGATGCTACAGACCTATGTAATGAGGTGACAGTTTCTACTAGGACATACTTTAACTATCAATTGTTTGACAACTTTTGAGTTCTCACTGACGCTTTTAAAATTACTCAATTTGACTTCTTGGTAATTCTGTCAATGATATCCATTGTTTATCAGCACCACCTCCATTTTTTTTATGTTCATACCTGTGCACACTTTTAGTAAGGAAAAATATACAAGATAATACATGCCATTAACGCCAGCAATAGACCAATGAACCGATTTGAATCTTGTAGCATTTAGATATACTATAAATGATGAGGTATGGCTGTGGTTGTAAGAGCACTTTAGAAATAATATGTAGTTGCAGGCATGTCTTCTAGAACGTACGGCATCCAGTTCCATTGACAATTTTTTTACCTTGACATTATAAATATTTGGATGTATACTAGCTGATGAGGCCATTCTTTTGGCATTGTTTAGTTTGGCTCTATTCATGTTTGAACAGTATAATTTCATATATGATTGTTACTACTACTTTTGTGGGTCAGGTAATGAAGTTTGAAGATCTGAAAGAACTGGGCAGTGAATCTGCTGTTAAGGTATACACTCCTTCCCCAAGGACATTCTTGTTAAGTGCCTGTTTTGAGTTTCGACTTGATGTTTTGAATGTGCGTACCGTAGACATAATCTATCTTGATGAGGTACTTGTTCTTTTCAGTGCAGCATAATCTATCCTTTTGTTTTGTGTTGCTAAAACAGTAATACAAAGTTGCCTATCTTTTATTGTAGTATTCTTCATGTGCTTTTCATTGAACTTTAGTAATTTCATTGAACTTTAGTAATTTCTTTTGCTCTTTTGAATATTTTTGAAAAGTTGTGCAAATAGTTGAAGTTGAAAGACCATTTCTATGTGCACTTGTCCAGTAGAAGAATGTGATTTGAATTAGCTGGTTCAGCAACAAATGTGAATTTTTTGTTCAGGTAAAGTGTTGGCAGATCAGATGTCAGACTAAAGCTCCTCAAGCTGCTGGTGCAATTCACACTGATTTCAAAAGGGGCTTCATATGCGCTGAGGTAACCCTCTGCTATTTTAAGTAGTTGATATAGTT